GGCAGGTGCCTGCGCTTCCTTCAGACGCGTCGTACCCGTTCCGATCGTGTGCTTCGAGGGGAATACGACGGTATGTAGCTGATCAGCGGAGTTGTCGGTGGCGCATTTGCTGAATACAGCAGAGCGGGATTCAGGTGGAGCGTCTGATGCTTCAGTCGATGCTACGGGCGTGAGCTTCTCCTTGAGCTTCTTCAATGCGGGCGGGGTTCCTATCTGCATATTCGCTGTCTCTGCGCTCTTGGGGTTCCCAAGGGCGACGTCAGACGCAGTGCTGGCGAGGGAACCCGAATCCCTTCTTTGTCGAACGCGGGGCCCAGTGGGAAGTGCGCTGGGGTCATCGTCATCGCCCTCCGGGGACGTTGCCGAGAGCGTGCGCTTCCTGGCGCTGCGCTTGATTGTCGTGACTTCGGCCAGAAGCGGCCGAGGCTTCTGGAGTACCTCTGCCACTCGAGTCTTGACCTTGAGTCGTATCGTCTCGATGGATGTAACTGAGCTCGTTCGCTGGCGCGTCCGGCTGAGTGGGGAGGTATCTGAATCGTCGTCGTCGGCTGCCGCTCGGCGGTTCATATCACCCGAGGGCGGCGGCTGAGCTGGCCAGAGATTTCGCCCGCGCGACGACTTCAAAAGAGGGTGGGGTGCCGAGATGACGGCGGTCATAGGCTTCGTCTGCGACTTGGCAGAGAGGCCGCTGTTCATGCTGGCAGAAGAGCCAGATTTCGTGGACATGGTGGTAGAGGAAGAGAAGTAGACGCCACCTAAGCCAAGAACGCTTTTTGTGTCGCCAAAAGACCCATGAGGCTGATCAACCGTAGGACAATGGGAGAAAACGAGTCAAAGATCCGCAACGATCGCGCTCGTGAGAAAGGCACAAAGGGAAGTAAGTGCTGGCCCCGACAGGCGAGCGACAAAGGTCTTGAATGAGCTAAGCTCGAAGCCGATGTTGAGCTGATGAGTGGTGGCAGGAAGAAAGAGACTAGTAGTAGTACTTGTCAATGTGACTTGAACGTGACTCGGAATTGAGTTGGCGACTTAGCAATAATATTATTATAATATTAGTAACGACGAGCGATCACGTGGCTCTGACGCGTAAGTATAAGACTACGGAACACAGAAAACGCGTGTGAACTTGGCATGAACAGCTTTTAGAACTGATCATTATTCAACGTATCAACCCCGAGCCTCCTGGTCACTTTACCTCAAGCGTCAATGCTATCGCAATCAATGGACTAAGTAGTCGTAACACCGACAACGAACAGTTCGAAGAATGAAGCGGGTAATGCCGACGAGCGGAACGGCCCGCTGCCTGTTCGATGGCCGCGATGTTCTGTAGTGATGTTTTTTTTTTTTTCGTTTGACACGGGGAGCTCCGTACATATATTTTGCATAAGCCTGAATGGATTTCTTATCCTCAGCGTAGCATCTCATTCTCATACATGAATCGGGAAAATCTTTTCAAATTTTCATGAAGGAATGTAGCAATTAGAAGTAATATAGTAATTTGTGACCTTTCCATTGCCACGCCAGTCCGATCACTGCAAGATCACTGCTTAAACGCGTCCCGTCACATGGAAAGATGACCTATAAAGATATCCGCAGTAATATGTAGATTCATCATGGGAAGGTTATTCATTGGGTTAGATGAATTGGACCGCGGCACGACAGTCTAAGGATGTCGTCGACCGTTGAGTAAGACCCAGGGGTGATAGAAGAAGAATACACATACCGTCATAATGACCAGGAAGTTCGGTCACTGGAAATCGTATAAGATATAAGAAGGTCGTTGAAGGACTCGGTGAGATGTGTACCATTGTGATGATCAGCGAGCTGGGTGTCCGTTATCTTCTCGGATCCCGCGTTAGGTTGAGGATTGGCCAAGGCTGCAGAGCTTGAGTAGAAGTATCAACCAAACAGGAAGAGATTACCGCGAAAGTCTACAACGCCTGATGATAGCGCGACGCATGTTGGAGGGACGATAGACTCCCGGCAGAATTGGAACCAGTCCTGACCAAAGACAAGATCATTGGCTAGAGAGGAAACAACAGGGAGGTGCATCTGCAGAGAGATGATGCCATGAAGACCAGGAAAAGTGACCGTCCCCGAGGCCACGGAGCCTTCGACGCGAATGCCGAGATTCAAAACCCAGTCAAGAGAGAGTCGGGACTGGATTGACTCTGGGTCGAAGGTGGTGGTCAGGGCTATGTTGCGGAACGTGCAAGTTGCCGTGTTCTCAAGAGCCATTGTCACAGTGGAGAAGGAAGAGACGACTGGGCCGAGACTCGACTCTGTGCCACGTCAGCATCGCGCTGCTTACGAAGGAAGTGCTGACAAATGTGATGGTTCGCTAATTGAACATGAACTGATGGGGCGCTATAAGTATAAGAATCCGTACCTAAAGGGAGCGGGATTCCCGGGAAAGGTCATTTTCGCATTTGTGATAGAACCAATATACGGGAGAGGCTTTTTAGCTGGGTCGTTCCTGAGCTTGAAACGCAGAAGGCATCCGCGCTAAGGGTTGAACAAGAGCTATGCATTGCATATGCATCAATCAAATTAAGGACCACAGTTACTGTATAGAATCGGCAGCATCTAACGGAAAAGGAGAGTGCACCACGTAAGTGAGTTCGGTGGATTTTCATCTTGTTTTCATCTCGCTAGTAATTGGTTCAGCAGGCGACCGAGTGGGTTGAAGAAGTTGACTTACCGCAGCGAGACCGGGGAGAGTGTTTGAATCACGGGCATGCATACAATCTGCACCCACGATCCTCCACGCCGGTTTCGCCCCGGATGGCGAGTGCCTCTGGGTGCTCAATGGGCCGAGCTTGGGCACAGAGTGCAGCTGCGAATGACATGAAATTCGACTAGGGGAAATCAGGCAGGACATACCTATGGCGAGAGTGAAGAGGGTGAGGAAGTTGAATTGCATTGTAGGATTACAATTTGAGGAGGATATGTGTAGCTGGGGACGATGGGTGCAGATTTTTGGGAGGGCCCAACGAGCCCTTACTCGTTTAAAAACTAGAGGATCCAGAACCATCAACGGTGTTCGCTCTGAACTATGATCCGCGCTTTCTAGAGCGAGAGACACGGTATTCGATATCCTTCCTGTTGTGGAACAAAGTCGCGGGTTGAACTGAGCTCAAACGCTGCGACAAGTATATATAAGCGCGCAAGAGCCCTTACTACGAGGTCCGGTGTACCTCTGAGGCCTAGGCAAGAAATATTAATAGGAGCAGGAAAAGCCAGAGGCCTCACGCCTTGCGGCGCAAAAAAAAAAAGGAATCACAAACGAGGGGTGAGCGGGGTCTAACTGGCTGACACAAGATGAGCGCACAGGCCGCATGCCAGTGCCTTGCAAGAACCCAGTGTTTCGGCACGAGACCGGAAGACATCCCGAAACGCCGGATCAAATCGTGAGCGCTGCGAGCACTGCCACACCTGCGCTTCCTTCCTTCCTTCCTTCATCTGCCCAACCAATGCTTTGGTGCTGGAGGCGGTTTTCCAATACTGCTGCTGCCTCCAAGGAAGCTACCAAAACACTGCCGGCTGAAGCATCACGGTATCTAAACCAGCGTCGCAACCAGTCGCAACGTCCGTCCGACTTCGGAGTAGGGTCTCTAGTCTCTGTCACTCATAATCTCTCAGGGCTCCGGATGTGTCGACTCTCCATCGGCAGATGGCGCCAGGGGCTGGCTTTTCCCGGGCCTATACTTTCTATGGGGTGCTCCTCGTGTGCAGCTTCGTAAACACCGTCCGCTGGATGTCTCACTACAAAACACCGTGTCCGGGATCCTGTCAGACATCCAAATTCGGAACAAGGCTAGATAGCCCCTGGCTCTGTCGGTTCAAGACTACCCGATGGATGAGAGCTAATGCGGCGGATCCATCCGTCTTGCCAGCTTCTGGAAGGGAAGGGGCAGGACGGGCGAGACGCCGTCACGCAACAAATCAAGGGCCTCCGTACGATGATCTCAGTCCAATTGGGAGCGCCCTCCACACATAGAGCACCCGGGTAACTGCGCGGCATCCTTTGCGCTGAAGCAACCTTCTTCACGGGACTCCTTGAAACCACCGGTGATCATGTCTTTTTTTCGAGCTACCCTTGTTCCAGGCTTCAGCAGCAAGGTAAAATGTGTCCAAAACGACATCACGATCTCAAAACTCTACAGTACGCCCGGCTTCTAGAGAAACACACATCCGACCGCACACCAAGCCTCTTGTATACGTGCTCAACCATGCAGTTCAAGGTCCCAGTCGCCATTATCCTTGCGCTCGGTGCGTCGGATCCTGCCTCGGGCGGGCAAATGACCTAAATAATATATCTGTTGCAGCTGCGGTAGCTGTGGCGGCGGCACTAGCACCCCTCGCCCCTCCGCTTGACGTCGAGGCACGCGAGGCAGGCTGCTTGCTCTAACTCGTTGCATAGCTTACTCATCCAAATCAATTAAGCACCTCGGCAGCGCCGACGCGCGAGGCTGCAGCCTCGCCACCTGCATCTAACTTCTGGGTGTTTGGTATGTCACCAGTGCTGCGCTCTCTGTATCCCTGCTACACCTTTCTGTATGCGGCATTCGGCCCACCCTTGCAGGCGCCAGCTTTCGGCCTCCTGCTCACAGCCAACCACGAGGTACTTCGACTTGGTTTGAACGGCCGGAGACCCCGTGGCAGCCCTCGACTATGGGGAGGCTGAATATATTTAGCGGTGAATAGCAGCGCAATACTATATGTGGCGCAAATAATGTGTAATGAAAATTAACAAAACTGTCAGATCGGGTGTGGTTTCACTAAGTCGACGAAAGTAGAATATTTTCTGCAAAAATGCCTGAGAATGTTCTGGGAGGGCGTAGCTGGTGAATACCCTTCTCGCTGCATATTCTTGCCAACCGCACATACAACCAACGCATAGGGTCTACTTTTCTGGTGATTCACATAGTTTGAGTAAGTAACAGATCAGGCTTTAAGCCCCCCTGATCATATGGCATCGCATTCATATTCCCGCCATTGACACTGTAACTCAGTGGTAGAGTGTAAGATTGCAATCTGCTAACAGGAGAGTCTATCTTGAAGTCCCGTGTTCGAACCACGGCAGTGTCTCTTTTTCTGTATCGCCTTCTCATAATAGATACATCCTCCGGCGACCACACCTATGATGCGAAATGGCCCTGCACAACTCGGTTTACTCGGGGTCACATTTTGTGCCTTATCTTTGGTACACCGCTTCACTAATTGCTACGAGTGCTACAAGGTCGTGTAGAGCCCGAGCTAGAGGCCAGATTGACTGCGGCCCGCGGAGTCCTTGTCTCGCGCGAATGTTGCGGGATATCATTTGACGTTATCAGCCGATTCTCCTGGGCAGTCGGAGACAGGAATCCGAATTGCGTACCTCGCTGGAAGATGCTGAAGCTCCAATGAATCAATCTACATAAGGTTCGGGTCTAGTACGATTCTCCGATCCATCCGCTCCTCAGCGCACTGCAGTAGCACAGCCCGCCACGCCGGTCGGACTCCGAGTCCTGCTGCGTTCGATGAACTCCAATTTTTTTCTCACTGACCGCAGGCTGCAGGCGCGGACTGCCGCTAGCTGTCAATCAGACTGATAAATTCAATTGGCGCTAGACGGGTGCGCTGTCTTGTATTTGTATTCGTCCTCCGGCTCAGAGAGTGCGCGCCTCCGGCCTGGCCGTGTGTGCCGTGATTGAAGTATATTTCATCTACGCCCGGTTTGGTTCAACTTCAATTCCTCGTCTTGTCCTCGCTCTCAATTTCGTCTTGTCCGTCCTCCCCGACCGATACAGTAGTATGAGACTATGAGTCACTCGCACCGTGGTCTTGTGTACGGCTCGTTAGCGGACGTCCGCGCCTGCGCTGCATAGCCGGAAAGAAACACGAGAAACAGTTCAGCAGGAGGCCCGTTCGACTCGGGGCGCGAGCCATAACGTCCTCATGTGAGGTGGCGTTTTTGAGTTGAGTATGTAGCGCTCATATCTCCTTGTTTTGTTCCTCTTCGTGCTTCGGATTTGACAAGCCCCCAGGAAGAGTGGCCCGCCGATGGAAGGGTCCAGGGGAAATGGTAGATTGCTGGTAGTTTTTATCATACCATTCCGAGCGCGGCGTATTGCGCTGAAACCACCCTCGCCAAATGGTGCTGGGAGCTTAGATCGCAAACAGCGCCGTCTCATAGGAGCTCGTCCAAATTGGGCGAAGGCGGTGCCGGCCGGCCACGTGACGGAATGTGCTCGTCGATCACCGTCACGCGTGACCCTCCTGCCCTTCGCGCCCACCTGCCACCCACATCTGCCACCAACCCACGACTCAGGACACATCTACCGCGTCGGCTGCTTGAGCCTGTCTCTCCCGGCGGCTCGGCTTGAATGGTACGCCGTTGAGGCCGTCCCCGGCCTGCTGGCCATGGCCATTGGCGGCATGGCTCATTGGCCAAGCGCTGCGCCGCTGGCTGGCAGTGACTCATGATCCATGGATGCTGCCCGGGGCTGGCCGCTGCGCTACATCAATATCGTTCCGCAAGGCCCATAGCCTTATCTTTGACAGCTCGCCACCCCCACGCACGCGTCTGCGCCTCAAGCTCTAGCCATGCTATAGTAAACGCCCCCGCCCTGGAAGTAAACTGCCGCAGTGAAATCGAACCGCCTTTACGCTCGATGTACTGGCAAACGAAATCCATGGCCCACTCTCCTCCCCTCATGCTAACACCATCCACCCTGTGCCCCTAACGTTGAACGCGCTCCGCCTTGCGACTCCGTCCCCTCGCAGCCTCTCTCCTATCCAAACACACAGGTCCCCGTTCCATGTCCAATTTGTGCATGAGCACAACCCTCTCCGTCGGCATGGCAACGCGATTCTGGTCCCGCAGCGCAAGGAAGGGCCGTGCCCGCCTCCTACGCAGGAAACCCAATTTCCGAGGTAGCAGGTCAAGGTTCGAATTCTGAGGCGAGGGGATGTCGCGCCACACATTATGCTCTCCACACCGCCCGTGACCAGCACGCCTTGCTTGACACCCATCCAAACCTCTGCTACGTTTTCGATTCACATCCTCTACGCGGTGCGTCCTTCGAAAATCCGCCGCTCTCCGAGTCTTCCTGGACGTCGCGCCTCCCAGAGTCACAACGCCCGCGCGGCCAGCCGACCTCGCTGTACTTGCGCATCGAGCCCATTGTGCGCTGCTTCGTCGTCGTTGTTCAATTCTCCGCCAACTCGCTGGAAGACCCGAGATCTCTCTCATTCTTCGACCGACGGGGATCCTCAGGCCTGGGCCGTTGTCTCGGTACACCGGAATCTGCCTCCCGAATCCGTCGCCCATTGTACTGCGCGCGGCTTTTCTGCTGAGAAATGAGTGCTACTTTCTGCGCGTCGAGGGCGTCTTCATACTCTTTCATCCTCAACGACCCGCGCCTCGGGATAGCTGTGGAGGAGAACCGCGTGCTGAGTCGTGGGATCCGAGACCCCGCAACCGTCCCAAATCTCTGAATGCTCGGCCGAATCACTTAGTACGGCAAGAACTGCACATTCCGGCGTCGCGGCCCGAACGTGCCGCCGTCTGCCATCTGATCTGCACGTGGCTGGTTCAACCGCCACTGGTTGAAATTTCCGTTGTGAGTTAAGCAAGCTTCAATCGCCCGCCGCAGGATAAAGCCCTTGTAGGGGAGCACAGAATATTCATGGTGAGCATTGAGAGACTAGATCTGATTGATACCCGCCCAATTTATGCTAGACATAAGTACATAAACTTGGACCAGGCGTTGTCCGGAGATCATGCAAAAGCATTGCAGTTCAATTCGGCGGCTCTTGTAAGTTAGGTATTCATAATGTCACTGTGAGACTGGAATACATATAGGGGCATCTAGTAGCATCAACGATTTCCGAAGTCATCCATTTCCGTGTACTCATCTCTAGCCCTCCTCGATTCACGCCTGCAGCAACACCAACAGCAGATGAGCAGTCCAATGGCAATAGTGCCCCCGATACTACCGAGCACGGCCCCTATGATCTTTTCGGACGAGAGGCCACCTTTTGCGGCCGCACCGCCAGCATCTATCAAGGGGATTGCCGCTCCGATTGTGTCGTTCAAGCAGGATAAAAGTGTCGTATTAAGAGCCGCGGGAAATGGGACCGGCGAATCCGAAGCTGAAGCTGTCGTGTTATCCGCGGCGAAGATCACCGTGTTGTTGTAGGCATCGCATGTCAGGACAGCGGTGCTGGCGCGGTAGTACTGGACCGCCTGCTCCGGCTTCGGGAGACTAGAATTTCCAGCAAAGTCTGTGGCTGCAATCGTGGTTGTTGCGAGATACGCAGTGCAGTTGGTTGTGATGGTGGCAATCAATGCTAGAACTGTGTCGTTGTCGGCTACGATCCGGAAAGGGGATCCTCCGACGGTACTGTTGGGCTGGAAGAAGGCGGTCATTAGGCGCCCGCCGGGGCGTGCTTGGTTTGTGGTGTTGCCGTACTTGAGAGATAAGATATAAAGTCAGTCGGTGCAGGCTATGCAGGATTTCGAGATCACCTCGCTCGTATTGTAGATGTATGAGTCTGAGTCAGCGCCGTCTCCCCAAACCACAGGCCAGTAATAGAAAGGAAAGCTACGTCCATTGACCCCGCGATCAGGACCATCGGGATATCCACTCCCGTACCGCCTTTGATCGCGCTTGAGCACAGGGTCCTGCCAAAAGCGCGGACCACGCACCAGGTCCCGTAGACTTCAGCTCTCGTGCCGCTGCCTGATTTCATGTGTATAGTCAGCCCACCGCAGGTGACGGCTGTAGACCTTACTCACCTTCAGTGCGGCCAGCCCAGGGACCAGAGACGTATGTGCCGACTCCCCCGCCCCCATTCCCGTAGCTTGTTGCCGTATGCGATCTTCCGCCAACAGTGATAGACCTACTACTCCCCGAGCTCCCCGCGCCACCCGCGCCACCCGCGCCACCGCTGGAGCCTCCGCCTTTACCAGTGGTACCGCCACCGCCTGGTTCGGTGCCAGCGTGACCACCGCTGCCGCCGCCCGTATGACCCCCGGAGCTGGTGGTCCCCCGACGTGGAGAGAGGCGAGCGAGAGTCAGGCGCCGGGGAGAGAATGGTGGGATGTACATGACTGTAACTTGAAGAGCGAACACGCCACGGCGCCACACACGTGACAGTGGGTGGGTACTTTATACCATCGTGTTGGCCCCTCAGTCTCTCGGTGTGGCAATGATGCGTTTGGCATGGATGACTGTCAGTGGTCCTGTGTACGAATCTCTTGGAATTTGGCGCCTCTAATAGGTGCACATCTGCATTACATGATTGATACATAACCAAATTTCAAGAGAAAGCGACCCGACCAAGTATTTGTGCTTCGAGTTACTAGTCAAGTGTTACAGACGGAAAAAAAATTGAAACTCGCTCTCCGATTGGCGTAGACTGAAATATTGCGAACTTCAACTTGAAAGTGAAAAACAGACGCGTAGACGGTCACGTGACCGCGTTCCAGTGATTGCCGTGGATGAATGCTAACTGCCGCACACTGTTTGGATTGACCACCGGGGCGACATGAAGTGTCCAAGTCATCACAAACAGAACTGGATTTGGCGGTCTGGGATGCGTTGCCGAGCGCGACCGGCCGCGTCGGAGATGATAGATCGAGCGATCCTAGTTCGGCATTCATCGGCATCATCCCAAGAAGACCGGCATCCCGTTGTGGCGTAATCTCCGAGTCACCTGAATTCAACCACTTAGGCTTCATGTTGCTTAATATGATTCCTGTCTCTCTCGCGACATATGGGAAGAGATAAGGACTTTGCTTGCACTCCCTGCTTAGCAGCTTACCCTAGTCTGAACATTTCTTTGTGCCCTCGGCTTATTCTCGACCAACTCTATCTGCATTTTCACCAAAGCCCCTTCCACTGGAGCCGATGATGTTAAATAAACAAGACTGTACTTACTTAGAACTCTGTTTGATCTACCTAACTCATGTTGTGACACAGATGGTCTCCACAAAATTCGCTAAATGCTGGGACCTCCTAAATCCCCAACAAGTTGCCACCGAGGTAAGCAGCAACGCTACACACCCTCAGCATCTCCTGTGTCCTCCGCCGCGGACGGCC